ATCGCTTTTTTGGTCTCGTCGTCAGCATCTGTCGCATTCTCAAGTATGACCACGATGTGAGTTGAACTTCGATTTGTATGTTCAAGCATGTTGAGACACTTAATTTAAGGAAACATTTGCAAAAGATCTTCTCAGCAGGATGATTGAAGCTATGCTACAAAGGCAGTTATACCGCTTGACTCCGTTTTATGCGTCTCTACTCCCTGAAGACGATGCTCTTACGAAGATTTGGAGTGTAATGCCGTGTAGGTTTATGCATTCTTTTTACGAAGAGGGATAGGTTCAAAATTTCGCTTTTTTTTCAGATGTGAAGAAAGAAAGCCATCGCAAAGATTTCATCAGAGCAATGAATGATGCAGGATTTGATGGAGACGACCTTGCTGTCCGCTTTGGCAGATTTCGTATGCTGGTGAGTTTTCGATGCCATTGCAAATATCCATTCAATATTTGATATGATCTATATAACAATTTTTTAAGGAAGACGTCGATCATTTGGACTTTCTCCGTTGGGTTTTTGTTAGCGGTGAGGACAAACTGCTTTATGCTGTTGCAGAAGCCAATACAGTGATAAGAAACTACCTATGTGGGTTTCGCTTCTAATTCATATTCGTATTTTTCAAATTTTCAGCGACTTTTTGCAGTGATCGATTGCGAAAAAGAAGCCAACGCTGTAGTGAACGAATGTGAAAGATTGAAATTGGTTGACCGGCTAGCATCATCTCTCCGGAACCGTAAAGACTCGGACTCATCAAAGATAGAGGATGCCGCGGGAATAGCCATAGACGAGTTTAACAATCATTGCCTTTGTTTGGTGAGAACCTATTCTTCGTGTCTGTGTCTTTTATTTTGCAAATGATATTTTACAGTCCGCTCTAGCGCATTGCACTACGTTTGGTGTAGAGTGCGCAAGAGCACAAGCGGCTGCGAAAAGTGTGGCTGACGATGAACATGGCAGAGACATCTGGTCTCAGCAAGGAGATCTTGTAGGATTATCACAACGCACTGCACGACTCGAACGCAATCAGTCCCGGCACGAACGCTCAAAACTGGCACTAGATGCGTGCAAAGCTGTGAGTATGCCTTTTTCAGCTATCTCCCATCAAAACTATGAAAAGTTTTATGAATTGATTTTGACTTCATTTTTCTAGCGTTCCCTCGACGCCGTGAGTGCTTTCTTACGACATCTTGGTTGGAGATCTGTCACAGACATGGTAAGCCTTCCATACCATAATCGAT